CTTGAACATCAGTTCTTTGGAATTCTACTAGTGGTTACTTCAGGCCTTGTGATGAATAAAAACTGCGCGACGCAAAAGCACGACGTGATTTTTGACGTCATTAAATTCTTTTTATTTGCTTTTCATATTTATTGACATAAACTGCACCAATTTACTTAATCACCGCAAAACTACTTTAAACCATTTATGTAGAAATGTTATTATTTAAAAATGTTTTGAAATGTTTCGTTTTTTAAAATGTAAAAACATTTGTTTAATTTTCTCGGCGTCTGACATGTTTTGTCTATACTAAACGAATAAAAAACATAACTAAACATTTAAAAAAGATTATAAAATATGCTAATATTTGATTCTTTTTTTTCTCAAATATGTAATTTAAAGTTTTTCAAATAATTTTTTTTTCTTTTTAAAAAGTCTGCAAGTTATAAACTGGAAAATTTAATATTGTACGATTAAAACTGTGCAATAGCTAATATTTTACTAGTGATTTTATATAATATTTTTTTATTTTTATTTATTTTCATAAAGCGGTTGATAAGCACAATCCCTCGTATTACTAAAAAACTTTAACGAACGTTTTGAACAGATTTTTATAGTTTACAAGGAATTTTATTTTTGGCAAAATAAAATGAAATAAAATGTTAGAATAAAAATCTTATAGGTATAAAAGACATATTTCAGCGAAAAAATTTTTCTTAAAAATTATTTGAAAAACTATTGACGTTCTATTTTTCAGCAGCTGTTCTATATATCGATGTGTATAGCCTATATCGATACCAAATATCGATGGGTATAGCCTATATCGTAAAGATCGTCAAGACGAACGTCTAGGTGGCGGTGTAGCTATCTACATTGCAGACATATTTAACTCTCATGAAGTTAACCAATTTTATACAAATCAACTCAAACAAGTCTAGGTATCTGTAAAATTTAACAAAAAACATATACTTATTGGTTGTATATACAGACCAAATGATGCTAGTTTAATAAAATATGTCGCTCCTTGAAATTAGTGTATAGTTTAATTAAAAAGCCCTACGATGACTGTTTGATTGTCGGTGACTATAACCTCCTGAATATAAAGTGGTCTAACGATGGTATTATATCTTTTAACCCAAACAATCCCACGTAGTATGACTTCAGGAATATTTTCCAAAACAGCCTTTTTACACAACATATCACATTTCCTTTTTTCCAGACTGATTATGGTTCCTCAAATAATATGTTGGACTTGTTATTTACCTACAACAGTAATTCTATTTTAAACTTGTCTCCTAGTACTATACTAGGTAATAACACTAAGGGTCATTTTAGTATCACTTGGAGATTCTTAGTTTCAGAACTGTTCACCAGAAGTGAATCTCAATCGTTTAATTACAAAAAAGGTGATTGCGATTCAATATCTAACTTTATTGCATCAATCGACTGGGAGTTTTTATTTCTGCATAAAACTGCAGATTAAATGTTCAATATACTAATTTCTAACTATCGCACTGCTTGCACATAGTTTATTCCCAAGATTAATAAAACAAAAAAAAAAGTATGATCCTTGGGTTACCCCACATATTAAAAACCTGATCCAAGCAAAAAAATTCGCTTGGCATATTAACTGCTCTACCAAATGAGAGAATAATGAGCTTAAAATAAAATACAATCGACTTAATTGTTCAGTAAAAGCTGAAATATTTAAAGCAAAAAAAGCACATGAAAAAGAAACAATATCAAAATCCCAAAACAACCCAAAACTCGTTTACAAATATATCAACAAACAACTAAAAATTAAAAATCGAATTCGCTCTCTCAAAGATACTTCTGGCAGAATTATTGAAGCTCTTCCTGATATTGTTGATCTTCTGAACTCTCAATTTGAATCTATGTTTACACTTGAAAGCTCTGAAAATTTTCCTTTGCTAAATAAAAGTGGTATTTATTCTGAATGCATTTATAATGAAACTTGGATTTCTCTATCCCAGATATTATTCAGGAACTTGCCGATCTAAACCCTTAAAAATCCTTCGGATTTGACGGCCTGCATCCCTTATTACTCAAGATATGTGCCAAAAGCTGTGCAATTCCATTAACAAAAATCTTTCATGAATCCTTTAATTCTGGAGTAGTACCCAGTCAATGGAAATTAGCAAATATTAGTCCGATCTATAAAAAAAAGGGAGATAAATTACTTGCTGAAAACTATAGACCTATTTCACTAACATCTGTTGTCTGTAAAATCTTCGAAAAACTTGTAAAGAACAAAATTTTAAAGCACATTAACGGTAATAAAATGCTCTCTGCAAATCAACATGGCTTCCTTTATCATAAATCATGCGTAACTAACCTAATAGAAACTTTTGATATCATTTCGTCCTCCATAGCACCCCACCAATTTAATGATGTAATCTATCTTGACTTTGCCAAAGCGTTTGATTCTGTACCTCACAACAGACTTTTGTTAAAATTAAAATCTTTCGGAATTAATGGCAAACTCCTACAATGGATTAAATCCTTTTTAGTGGGCAGAAAGCAACGCTTTACAATTAATAATACCAACTCTGCATTGGGTGATGTTTTCAGTGGTGTTCCTCAAGGTTCTGTTCTCGGCCCGCTCCTCTTCATTCTCTACACAAATGATCTTGCAAAACTCACTGAAACTTCTGAGATGTTTGCCGATGATACTAAACTTTTTTCTAAAACCTTATCGCAATCTAATTTTATTGATCTGCAGGATCGTCTACGCTTGGTATACAAGTGCTGCGTCATTCATTACGGCCGAAACAACCCCCATTACAATTACTTTCTGCAAAATAACCAAGGAATCAACCGATGTCTAAGAAGCTCTACTAAAGAACGTGATTTAGGAGTCATTTTACATCTAACCTCAAGTGGAGCGCTCATATTCAAACAGTTGTCTCTAAGTCCTTACAAATTCTTAGTATACTGAAAAAGACATTCACTTTCATTGATGAAAAAATGGCTCTCAAATTATATAAGGTTTTTATAAGACCACATCTTGAATATGGAGTGTCTATTTGGGCTCCTTATTTAAAAGCTGGTATGACTTTGGTTGAATCTGTTCAACACAAAGCAACAAAATGGGCTTACAGCTTGAGGCATCTTTAATACTGCGAAAGGCTAAAAAGATTAAATCTACCATCACTTGAGTTTCAACGCCTTCGATGCAATTTAATCCAAATTTTTAAGTTAATACATCGTTTTGATATAGTTAATGATAAATATCTACCAAAATATATTAAATCCATGTCTCGTGGTCACCATTCTAAAATAAGGCGTGAGTATGTTCCAAACTGTCTTCCAAGATATAATCATTTGTATAATAGATCAGCAAAATACTGGAACAAACTACCAGAGCAAATAACTTTGTACTCCACTGTACTTTCCTTCAAAAACAGACTAGACTCCTGGTTGTGGAATAAGTTTGGAACAACTGTTTATAAAACTGGTTGTTTATAGTGGGGTGTTTTCCCTGCTCGCTGTATGTATACATTCTATGTAAATTTATGGCTACAACTATAATAATAATAATACTTATTATTTAAGTAATTTTTTTTGAGTTATTTTTTACAAAAATTTTAATTGCTGTACTTTTTTATTGAATCAAGTAATATACATTTTAATATTAATCCTTTTATTTTTTTTATTTGCGCTTACCAATTTTTAAAATGTTTCTGCGAAATTACTCTTAAATACTTTAAATACGTCTAACAGTTATTAAATGTTTTTAAATCTATGGAATAATTTTAAAACCTAACAAACCCCCGTAAAATAATTATTTAAGTTAAAAATCTAAAACTAAAAGAAAATATTTTTGTTCAATTTTATTGACAACTTTGCTATTGGTGATTAATTTTATTAAAATGTTAGCTTAAAAAGATTTAAACTTTTTTTTTTTATCTGATTTTTTTCTACTTGTAAATAATGAGCATATTTAATTTTTTTGTAATCCAAACTTTTATATCAACTGCGTGCGGTTTTTAAAATACTTTATTAAATGTTAAAATAATCGTAAATTACTTCATTAAAATTCCACTCAAAAATATCTTTAAATATACTCAAACAAAAATTTTTTTGCTCTACGCAAATAGCCCTAGCTACACGCAAAATCGCTCTTGGACGGCGTAAAATTCACATCGCCCGACGCTTTATTGCAAGGCCTGGTTACTTGCAGCCTTGTTGGAAGTGATAATATTTTAAAAAAATAAAATAAATATGAGAATAAATTTTTTCAAAAAACAAATTTATTTAGGTTATTTATTTAGAGAACAAGTTTATAAAGAGAAGAAAAAATAAATAATTAAAAATCATTATAAATAGTATAAATAAAATTGAATAGATAAAGTCTAATAAAAACTAGATTAACTCATAAACACTGGATTATTGGTTTTATGTTGCAATATCAACACAGATAAACAGTAAATCATTTTTTGAATTTGAATTTTTTGTTTGTAAAAAAGTTTTTATATAATAACTTTTTTTTTTTAATTATAAAACGTTTTCTAAAAGCTTTGTAATTTTGTGTTTTTTAATTATTAAAAAGAAATAGCGCTTCGAAATTACTTTTTATCCTAAAATTGAAAGAAATTTTTATAATAAATTGTAAAATGCGGTAGTGGTGTAGTGGTAAAACGCTCGCTTTATAAGTGAGAGGTTCCGAGTTCGATCCCCACCACGTCCCTGGTAGTACTGTGCTCAACTTGTTTCTCCGCTCAGCGGCCTTGTTTGTGGGAGTTATAGAGTTGAGAGAGGGTTATAACCACTATTAAGTAACGTCTGTAGTTGCCTTCTTGGCCTTGAGGAGGTAAATTTTTCTTTTTGATTGAATTTTCAGGAGTAGTATTAATTTTTAATAAATTGATTTTTGGCTGGAATGATTTTTTTTTCCATTTTATAAGATTTGTATTAATCCATACTACACAATCAGTATGTGACAACTGCAAACATAAAATTATGCATAATTCATTAATATTTATCTCTTTATTTTTAAGAACAATTACATCAACTTCATTTTCAAACTGAGGTAAACTTTTTTTTTAATATAATTATTATTATTGTATTACTTTATTAAATTAAAATAATTTTATTTTGAAATTATATTATTATTTTTTTCAAATATGTTAGGCTTTTTCTCTAATGTCTTTTTCTTCTAATGTCATTTTCAAAATAATTTAGTTATTCACAATTAATCCATTATTTAATTAAACAGTTTATAAATTTAAATGAGTTAAATATTTAATCTTAATAATTATTCTTTATGTGCAGCTTTTAAATAATGGTTTCAAGAACAAAGAAAGTGCTGATATTCCAGTATTGAACAGTTTTCATAGTTCCAATGGCTTTGAAATTGATACTGTAAGAAAAGAAATTGACAATGAAATAAACAAAAATACAAGTAAAAATGAAATAGTTACAAATTTAGAAATAAAATATCCAAAAAGTAATAATGGATTCTTGTTTCAAAATGTTGAAAGTATTTTAAATGATGACCAAACTGGAGAAGTTACCGTTAAACAAGAAGTTGTTGACCATAACATTGATAAAGCAACAGTTGATGATAAAACTCTCAAAGCAGAAGAAGAGTGGCATCTTTTTAAATGTGATCGCAGAATCAATAAGGTAATATAAAAACATGTTATTTACTACTTAGTACAATTAAAATTTTACCACTTAAATGTTAAACTTTTTTTTTTTTTTTTTTTTTTTACTAAATTAAAAGTTCCTTCAGTTTCCATTTCAGCACAGCTTTACACTTTTAACAAAGAACTCTCTAAAAACATTGTCAAACAATTACAAAAAAAAAAAAAAAAATACAAACAATTGTTTATGTTTGTTTTATTTGTGTTTTTACATCAGAGTTAAAATTATAATCGATCAAGCATACGTAAGTAATAAGTTTACCAAATTAAAAAAGTTGCACAGCTAACTAATACAACTAAAGTTTATCTAACATTTTTATTTTTAAATTCTCTGAAAAAAATGTTAAACTATTAAGAACAACTATTAAGAAACACAATTGTACTTAATACTATTAGTGTGGTATTACCATTATTATTTTTCATTCCCAAAATTACCATGGTTATTGATTCTGTTACCGTGTTGCTCTATAATTGGTTCACATTATTTGTGGAAAACTAATGTGAATCTTATTACATAAATGAGAACTCTCTCACTGAGTCATTTTCCTTACATTTTTTTGCATTATCCTTTACTACTGACCTTTCATGGAAATCATGTATACAATCGGTTGATAAATTAGGATCTGCTAAGGTTGCTTCTCTTTATTGTGCTCTCCATTTTCTTATTCCTGATTCCATTCTCTACCTCTACGAACCTCTTATCACTGTATGGAATACTGTTGTCATAATTGGGCTGGTTCTTCTAATGATGCTCTTTCTCTTCTAGACAAGGTCCAAAAACGCATCGTAAACATAGTTGGACCCGCTCTATCTGCTAAGCTTGAGCCTTTCTCCCAATGTTGTAAAGTTGCATCTCTTTCTCTTTTTTAAAAATATTATCATGGATGCTGCTCAAAGAAGCTATCATCTCTAGCTTTTTTTATTTTTTTTTTATTTTTTTTATTTATTTTTATTTGCATTCACTCCCAACAAGGCTGCAAGCAACCACTATTAAGTTGGGAGTTACTAGGAAAAAAAAGAACAGAGTTATAGAGCAAGGAAACGGTTGACAGAAAACTTGAAAAGTTGAAGGTTGTATGAGTCAGGAAAACATGAAGATGGGAGAGAGTTCCAAAGGATTGAAGTGCGGGGAAAAAAACTAGATGAATAAAAGTTTTTAGAGCATGCAGGGACAGATACAGTAAACGAATGAGACTTAGCTGAATGACAAGTAAAACGAGAATGAATTTTAGTTGATGGAACTCGAGATGATAACTCCTTTGAGCAGTGACCATGATAGTATCTGTAGAAAAGAGAAAGAGATGCAACTTTACGACGATGGGAAAGAGGTTCAAGCTTAGCAGATAGTCCAGGTCCAACAACATTTACAATGCGATTTTGGACCTTGTCAAGAAGAGAAAGTGAATCGTTAGAAGAACTAGCCTAAATATGACAACAGTATTCCATACAGGGACGAATAAGAGATTTGTAGAGGTAGAGAATGGAATCAGAAGTAAGGAAATGACAAGCACGATAAAGAGAAGCAACCTTAGCAGAAGCTAATTTAGCAATCGATTGTGTATATATGGTTTCCATGAAAGGTCAGTAGTAAGCGATAATCCAAGAAGACGTAAAGAGGAGGACTCAGTAAGAGGATTGCCATTCATTAATATAGGAATGTTGACCATATTGCGGTAGTTGTTTGCAGTAAGCAATTGGGTTTTTTTAGAGTTGAAATTTACAAGCCACTGTGAACCCCAATCTATTACTGAAGTGAGATCAGATTCAAGATCAGCTGCTTGTTCTAGGCGATCGAAAAGAGAAGACTTTTTGTCAAGACAGGAGTATAAAGTTGAGTCATCAGCAAAAAGAGCTACTTTAGATAAAAGGTTGTCAGGAAGATCGTTTATGTAGATAAGAAACAAAACAGGGCCCAGGATGGAACCTTGGGGAACCCCAGAAGTTACTGGAAATAAAGAAGAGTGTTGGCCTTCAAGGATGACTTTAATAAACCGGTTAGAAAGAAATGATTTGATAATCTCAAAAACTTTTCCAGAAACACCATATGAAGAAAGCTTATGGAGAAGACCAGCATGCCAAACTTTTTCGAAAGCTTTAGATATGTCGAGAGCAACCGCCCTAGCCTCACCGCCTCCATCTAATGCACGATAAAATCTTTCAGTTACAGCAGTTAGCAAGTCGGCCGTAGAGCGAGAGGATCGAAAACCGTATTGATTGTCTGACAGCAGTTTATTTGACTCAAGATGAGATGTGAGGAATTTGTTGATCAATTACTCAAAGACCTTGCTAATAACAGAAAGAAGACAGATCGGACGATAATTGGAGGGGTCAGAATTTTCTCCAGAGTTTTTGAATATTGGAACCACAGATGCCATTTTCCAACAAGCTTTCCAAACAAGCTTTTCCAAGCTTTTCCAACAAGCTAGTTCCATCAACTAAAACTCATTCTCGTTTGACTCATCATTCAGCAAAGTCTTATTCTTTTACTGTATCTGTCCCTGCATGCTCTAAAAACTTTTATTCGCCTAGTTTTTTTTCCAGCACTCTTTAGAATTCTCTTCTATCTCAACTCAACTCTTAGGAACTCTCTACCATCATGTTTTCATGACTCATACAACCTTCAACTTTTAAAGTTTTTTTTTTATTTTTTATAACATTTCCTTGCTCTTAATTTCTTTTTTTTACTTTCTATTAACTTCCAACTTAATAATGGTTGCTTGCAGCCTTGTTGGGAGTGAATGAGAATAATAATAAAAATTATTTCTATTTTATTTTAAAAATTAAAGTAGAAGTGATTGATTATTTTTTGTAATTATTAAAAAACTTCATTCAAATAACAGATGTTTGTCAAGTTTTGTGTAAATATTTATATTATAACATAATCTGTGGTTACACATCTCCATTAGTTTTTAAAGGGAAAGATGTTGAGGACTAGAATCATTTTTACACCATGTTTTTTAAACTTTTTTAAGGTTTAAAGTATACCAAAAAAATAACAAAAGTGTTTTTGATCTCATCTAGTGAATGTTTTTTTGTACATTTTTTAATAATATTTTTTAGATTTTATCTGAAGTTACAGAAGATAACATAGCAACTGTTTTTATTGAATTGGAACATTTGATTGAAGGTATAAACTTAGTGATAGTGTGTAGTTGAAAGGTGCGGTTAAAACAATACAACTATTATTAACTACAATAAACTATATTATAATACAACTATAAAAAAAGACTTTGATAGCAACGTTTTATGAATCATGCAAAATTGCTGGTAGTAAAATTTTTAAAAATAAAAACTAATATTGTAAATTTGTAATTAAACACTGTATAAGTTCTTAAAGTAATGAATAATTTAAATGTATAAAAGTTGGTTTGACATGAAAAAAAAAAAAAAATACATTTACTGTGAAAAATAATGCATTAAGTAAACTGCTTCAAATAGATCTATGACAAAAAAAAAAAAGTCAAAAATCACTCTAGAGATTGTTTTAAATATTACCCAATGTAGTATTGTTGCTATGTTACCGATGTAGTATTGTTACTATGTTACTGATGTAGTATTGTTACTATGTTACCAATGTAGTATTGTTACTATGTAACCGATGTAGTATTGTTACTATGTTACTGATGTAGTATTGTTACTATGTTACCAATGTAGTATTGTTACTATGTTACCAATGTAGTATTGTTACTAGTATGAGAAAGGTCTTTGAATTGTTAATTAACATCTAATATCTCATTTTGAGTCTAATAATTTACTCTCTGACAATCAATATGTACTTCGATTCTATTGTTTTACTACTGACTGGTATTACAGCTGTTAAAGTAGATCTATAAAAGTATCTGTTGTGCATTAAATGGAAAAGCTAAGGCTATTGTTCCCAATGTATCAAAGGCCTTTGTTAGGCCTTGCATGCTGGCTTTCTCAAGTTTTTTTATATGGTGGTATTTAATTTTTTTTTTTTTTTTTGTATTAAAAATATTATTTTTCTATAAAAAATTTTTTTATCATTTATCATTATTAAGTTTCTCTTTGATGCACAACACTTGTCTTCATTTTTAATGTACCACAAGGTTTCATTCTGTGTTGTTTCTTATCTATCTTAATATCTGCTAATAATATCTTTCTGATAATCTTATCTTTAAGGTGACTTCTTTTGCTGATGACACAATTCTATTCCAAAAGTTGTCACTTTTCGATAAAAGAAAGTGATGTGTCAGCTAAGGGCTTGCAGTGGCTTGTAAATTTTGACACAAATAAGAGTTGTGCTAATAGTTATCACAATAATGTTAGTATTTTTATAATGATGAAAAGCAACACATTTACTAAGTTGTTTTCTTTCTTATAAGATTATTTTTCAGTGACCTTACAAAGAAACAATATATCCAATCTATATTGCATCTGTTAATGTTTTTTTTCTCTTATCCTCAAGCATGTGCAATCATGCATAAGTGTGAATTGACAATTGAATATTTTTAAAACCAGACTTTCAAATCAGACTTTCAAATATGGAAAATTATGAATTTTTTTTTAAAATTATGAAAATTGAATAGTTATTACCAGGGGCGGATCTAGGATTTATTTCTTCTTTAGTGAAATTTTTTTGTGTAAATTTCAAACCCTCTCCCCCCCCCCATCATCCAGTCTCACAACCCCATCCCCTTTTGTGCACAATTTCTGTCAGGTGCCAAAGAAACACCCCCTACCACTTCATTAATTGTGAATTTTTTCCCATCTACCCGTATTCATATTTTCAAAAAGTTCTCACTTCATCTAATTTTTATGAGCACCCTCCCTGTTTACTTTGTTAGTTTACTTTGTTAGTTTACTTTGTTAGTTTACTTTGTTAGTTTACTTTGTTAGTTTACTTTGCACACTAGAGTTTCATGACTGAGTCAAGTTTTTTTAAATTATGTATGTTAAAAATCCTTACTAAATTTGGGTCATTATTTTTTTTATAAAAAATATCCATAAAATTAAATTGAATTGAAACTATACCTATATTTCATTTTTGATATCAGAACACAAATAGTACAGTCAAATATCTATTTATTGAGTATAAACTCAATTCAGAATATATGCTGATGCTCTACCTCCACAGTATAAAGGTTGAAAGAGTATCTGTCTGGAAGGTATTTGTTTAATGCACATGACCACATCAAGGTTCCTTCCTATTCATGTGTACGATTTTTTTATCCATAACGATTGAAGGCATATGACAAAAAAATGCACCATCAATTAGCAAACTGCTTTTCTCTGTACATTTTTATTCCTGGATTACATATAAAATATAATATATTAAAGCAATGTGTAGTAGTGGATCAAGACTTTTTTGGGCCCATGGCTGTTTTAAAGCATGAGGCCTTTTTCCATAATAAATAAAATAATCTATTTTCAGATTTACTTTTAAAAATATTTTTTTTTATGAACAGAAACCTCCAAAACTGAGGGGTTTTGTTAGTTGGTATTTTATGGGTTTTTACTTCAATAGAATCGTATGTTAATGCGACATTTTATTCTATTTATATGTATTCCAGGAATAAAAATGTGCAAGGAAAAGTAGTTTGCTAATAGATCGTGTATTTTTCTGTCATATGTCTTCAATTGTTCTGGATAAAAAATCATACACATGAATAGTAAGGAACCTTGATGCAGTTCATGTGGTTTAAATTTTGGATGTTGGAATAAAGCGTTGCATAGTTTAAATAGAATAAGGCTGATTAATAAGAAATATATATAACTGATAGTTATTGCAAGGCATCAAGCTCTAGGCAACATCAATCAGTTGTATTTTTTCTGGAAAAAGTGTTGCTTATATTATAATTGTTATCATGCAAAATCTATATTTAAAAATAATATGTTTACATATAAAAACATCACAACAGCAATATTGCAAAACTATGCTAGCAGTTTGTACTTTGCTAAGACAAGCATATGTTTTTCAAGTAAATTACAAACTGCCAGCATAGTTTTGTTATATTACTGTTTTGATGTATATGTATATCTTTTTTATATTGATATATACATTTTATATTTAATTAGAATATAAATAAAACATATGTATATAAAAAAATATATATATATGTTTAGATATAGAAACATAACAGCAGCATTATCACAAAATTATACCAGCAGTTTATAATTCACTAAGCCAAGCATATGTTTTTATGTTACAAAAAGAGAAAACAAAGTAATGTTTACTTTTTGCAAATTCATAAAACTGCAGATAAAGCAACAAATTATCTTCACTGAGGAAAATTTTTGCTTAATTGCGTAATAACATAAAGTAAATAAATCATTATAAACGGTAAATAGCTCAACAAGTTTATCCAATTTCGAGCTTTTGATGTTTGTTTCTGAACAGAAATTTTGCTTAAGATAAATGCAGGTTTTCCTTATACAGAAACCATAAAGAAATTACTTCATAAGACAACATCTTGCAAATTTCATTTAATAAAACGTTTTGCTCTAAAGCCATTCGTATATAATAACAAATGTAAATAAACATAATATATATATATATATATATATATATATATATATATATATATATATATATATATATATATATATATATATATATATATATATAAACATAAGCACTTTAAGAACTATACATATAACTGCAAAACACATATGCAATTTATCGCTTATTTATCCGATTTTTTCAAGTTGTACAATTAATTTTCAGACTTTTTATCTAGATCCAGATCAGATTAGGGAGATTGACCACTTAGTTACATACTATTTTAGGCATAATTTTTGTTTTGTTAGTTAAGGTGATTTAAAATACACACCTTGTACCGAGATTAAATTAGGCAAAACCTATTTTTCCTAATGCATGAAAAAGCCATTTCCCTAATCATAGTTTGTTACAATTTGACATAATGCTCAACCACTGACATTGTCTTCAAAAAGCTTCAACTTTTAGCTGGAAATTATCAAAGCAAGTTTGTACTAAGTTTTGTTGGAGTGCAGTAAAAGATGGAGTTTTTTTGTTTGTTTTTTTTTGTTTTGTTTTTGCAATAGTCAACTGTAGGATAGGCCAGCTATCAACTAGCAAAATCACTCTGATTGAGGCAATAATTAATGTATGGGAACACAATTGTGAAATCAAAGAATTGTCCTAAAAACCTGTAAGGTGTTTGTCCATAAATTAGGTCACACTAGTGGGTGGAGTTGTGAGTGATTTTGTGTTAACTTGTATTGGACTTGTTACCTAAGAGTTACAATTTTTTTATGATGACCCCTAAGTTTTAGGATGACCCCTGAATGGCATGATATAACATGTTGAGCATTTAATTAAAAGCATCATTTAGTCATAAGTCTTAGTTAGATGTTAGACATGGTGTAGTCTTAGTTAGAGGTTAGACATGAAGTCTTAGAGGTTATCTTTTATTTATTAATATGGTGGAGAATTAGTTTGAGATTATCTTTTGTTTATTAGACACAGTGGAGTCTTAGAGGTTTAGACATGGCAGAGTCTTAGTTTGTGGTTAACTTTGGTTTAATAGACATGGTGGAGTCTCATTTAATATTATTATTTAATTGCTACTCAGTCCCCTAGAAAGAAACACTAGACTTTTTAATAGGATTTGATATTTTACTTTAAAAAATAAAATCAACAAGTTTATTTAATATAGCCAAATATTAAATATATTTACTAAATCTTTTTTTAAATAAGTTAAAAAATTTTTTTCATAGAGGGTCCGTTGTCATCTCGATATGTCAACTGTAGTGAAGTTAAACAGTTAATTGATGTTTTGATAAAAAAAAGTATTCAAAATGAAGATTTTTTGCCATATGGACCATGTTTATTAAAGTTAGTGTCAGGTAAATCATTACAATCTATTGTAAGTTTCTTCTAATATGTTATCAGTGTGTTATATACATATACTTTAGCTAAATATATACTGAATAAATATAATATTACTCATGTTTGATGATGAAAAACTTGGAAGATAAAATTTGGCAGACATTAAAAAACATAGAGTCTTGAAAAATTAACTAGTATATAAAAACTACATGATATGTACACCACATTTTCAATAATTTTAAATATTTTTCATGGCTACTTGAAAATTCTTTATTCACTTTTTTTTTTTTTTTAATTTTTATTTACTAATTGTTTTTAACAGTGTTTTCTGAATTTTTTTAGAGCACTAGTTTTGTTAACAGTGTTTTATTATCCCATTATTTTTTTTTAACAATGTTTTATGAACTTTTTTTTTTAAAGCACTAATTGTTTTAACATTATATTTTTCTGAGCATTTATTTTTTTAATAATGTTTTCTTTTTTTGTGCTCTAATGTTGTTTCAACAATTTTTTCTGAATTTTTTTAGAGCACAGTATGATAGAGTTTCAAAAGTACTTTCCAGACATTATACATGCACATAGAAAAGAAAATATAACAGTAAATTTTTACATTTACATGCTCTTGTTAAATAATTTAGTTGTAGATATATTCATATTAACTAGCTGGGGTGACCCGTAAAATACGGGTCTTTACCGAACCGACCATTTTTATACTTATCTATAGCTATCCGGACGTAAACTAAGGGTCTTAGTAAATCTATTCTACACCGACCTTTTCTATACTTATTCCTTACCTCAATATTTTTTTAAAACCGTTTAAAAATGTACATATAAAAAACTATACTTACTTTTTGATATGACAAAAACATTTCTGTTAAAATGTTCTTTTAAAAACTTCAAACGATTTTAATATTATGCCGATTATAAAAATTTTAATAAGAAAAAACGTAAAAAAGACTACGAACTTAGAAAAATGCTAAAACATTCAACACGTGACGCCGTTAAAGTACGCCTTAGTTAACGTTCATAACATATACACATCTAATTAGATTTTATTTAAACTCAGTTGTTGCAAACTTGGTTTTGAATTTTTAATTACACTTCTTATGCGTCATAAATAATCTTAAATTTAAATAGAAAATATGTTTATGGGCTAATTGGTAGACGCGCAACACTTAGACATTTATAGTCATCTTACCCCGGGAGTTCATACTCCAGTGACTTTTTTTTTTCATCCCAACTTACAACAAAAGTAATTAAAAATAAATGTTATCATTGAAACAGTTTTAAACATTTCTTCCTATTTATCTTTGAACTTAACTTTATTCACTGCAAACATACTTTTGGTGTTTGTAAGCGTTATTTTATTTTTAGTATTTGTAGGAATTATTTGCACGCACGTATTTTAAACAATTATTATTTTAAACTTTTTTTATTTTACGTATTTTAAACAATTATTATATATATAATAACAATTTACTGTTTCATCTAAAAATCTTATTTAATTTAGTTTAATAATTTCTTAAATATAATATATATAATATAATTTAAAATATTTTATTAACCCTATTTAAATAAGTATCAAAACTCTTTCCTTTAATTTAAAAAGAATTTAAAATTAACGTAGGCTATAACGATATTTTACCCTTTCATCAACATTTATTTAAAAAGTAAATTTGGATATAGAAAAACGGGTTAAAGACTTATTATTTTAAATAAGTTAGCTTTATCTATTTAATGTTTTTCGTAAAAGCGTTTCTTTAAAGACTCTTAACAAATCATTCAAGCTGTTTTTACTGCCTAAGTTATTAAACCTGTTGTGTGTGCCAAAAATCGATACTTAATGCAAATGGAAACTTCGAGTGCTAATGGTGATTAAAGCATAAATGGTTCCTATTCATATATAATAAAAGGAAATATGAAAGACAAAGCAAAAATGATTTTTATATCCATTTAAACCAATAAATCCCAAAATAAAAAAATATAGATATTTACTTAAAAACATATTTTTCTTGATATAAAATAAAAATATAACCTTTAGTACAAATTACAAAAAAAAAAATTTATTCAACAGAGCTACTTATAATACAATTTAAATTGAATCATTGTTTCATAAATATTAAGCTTTAGGTAAGCCATAATCAAGTCAGCTATAAGAAACGGAACTAAAAATGGAACAAAGTTATTTAAACGCATAATCATAATCATACACATTAATTACAAATTAACATGTCATGCAATCAATACTTTTGAAAACTCAAAAATGCGAATAAGAAACTTACTTTTTTATTTTTACATAACCCTGACAGACCAACATGAATGTGAGCTAAATCTATTTGCATAAAACATCACAACAATTAATTAAATAGCAGAACCACCTCCAAAGGACAAAAAAATTAGTTTTTTAAGGAAAATTAGAGTTATTGGGAGGGGAGGTATTAATAAATAAAAAAGCTCAACTTGAATTTAAAAATTAGTTCATAGTTTTGTTGAGGGTTATTGAGTTATTCTGAGTTTATTATACATATTTTAAACTACTGACACCACACACTTATATTCTTAGTTCTGGAAGGTGCTAGATAGAATTTGATTGTGTGAAAACCAAATCCCTTTGAGATTAACATTAACTTTATCAAATGTATGACCGTGACTTTTATTTCTAGCTAATGAGCATTGTTGATAAAGGTGTCTTTATTTAAATGATTTACTTTGATAACATTTAACATTCATGGGAAAAATAAAAAACAACACAAAAATAAATTTACAAAAATATATTACAAAAAAAAAAATGAAGTGGCTCAAAAGTTGTCAATTTCTTTACATTTTAATATGTAAAAAAATTATTGACAACTTTTGCGCCACGTTGTCTTCTCCTCCCATCCGCTCTATTCCCCGTGTTGTATGGGGTGCCATCCCTCCATCTAAAGGAGGGATGGTCGTCCCCATACAAACACCAGCGATGGAAGGCCCTCATAGATAGAGGGCCTGGATGCTGGGAGCGATACTTTCTGAATTCTTCCCATGACTTCGAGCCTGAAAAAAAAATTATATATAAATACAACTATGTACCAAGGTAATACTTACAAAAAATCTACTGTAAAAAAACAATAAAAGCAAATAATGTAATAAATTAAGTACAAGTGAGCACAACAACTTATTTATTTTACTCACTAATACTTGACTTATTACATTAACTAATTAAACTGGAAAGCACATTTGTAGCTATATTAAAAAACAAAAGGTACAATAAAAGCAATCAATCAATGTAATAAGTCAAGTAAAGGTGAATATAACAACTTACTTGTAACAGAAGAAGCAGCAGCTAGAGATAAATAAAAGAAAATTAAAAATGCAATAAAAACAATCAATCAATGTAATAAGTTAAGTAAAAGTGACTTACTTATAACAGAAGAAGCAGCTAGAGATAAATAAAAGAAAGTTAAAAATGCAATAAAACCAATTAATCCATAAATTAAGTCAAGTATAAGTGAATAGAACAACTTACTTGTAACAGAAGAAGCAGCAGCTAGAGATAAATAAAAGAAAATTAAAAATGCAATAAAAACAATCAATCAATGTAATAAGTTAAGTAAAAGTGACTTACTTATAACAGAAGAAGCAGCTAGAGATAAATAAAAGAAAGTTAAAAATGCAATAAAACCAATTAATCCAATTTAAGTCAAGTATAAGTGAATAGAACAACTTACTTGTAACAGAAGAAGCAGCAGCTAGAGATAAATAAAAGAAAATTAAAAATGCAATAAAACCAATTAATCCATAAATTAAGTCAAGTATAAGTGAATAGAACAACTTACTTGTAACAGAAGAAGCAGCAGCTAGAGATAAATAAAAGAAAATTAAAAATGCAATAAAACCAATTAATCCATAAATTAAGTCAAGTATAAGTGAGTACAACAACATACGTTACTGAGGAAGTTGGATTTGTCACTATATAAGTGATTACATTATATTATTTATTAAAACTTTTATGAGACATAAAACATAATATAGTTACTTACAAATGTAGTTTAAAATGATATCTAAAAAAATTGACCAAAAAGTACAAAGTCCAAAACTAATCTCAAATTGAAAAAACGCATTTAATATTAGATGTACATAAATAATTAGGGTGTATAATAAACATAAAAGCAATTTTACTCACCTATGGACTTTTGTAAATCTTCTAATTTTTCTAAATAGATGAACAAATTACTAAAGCCAACCTCATTATTTTTTATTTAATATACATAAAAGTAATATAATGAAATTTTGCTTACTAACTCTACTTTCTAAATTTTCTAAATAAACAAAATGTATGAAAGATTAGTTCATAAATTTATTTACTGTAACATAAACTTCGAAAAAACTGAAGTAAAAAAGAAAAAATAGAAAATGCTAACTTTGATTATCTAAGAATTCTTTCAAATAAGGCAGAAAAGACTCTGTCTCTTCTGCCACTATCTCCTGCGCATCTAAGATATACACACAATACAATATATACATTTAGCATATCATATGATAAAGCACTACATCTAGTCTAGAAAATATAATAATCACAACATCTGGTCTAGAAAATAAATTCCAAGTTTCTAGTTGAAAAACACATAAAGATTTTTTTCTTATTTCAAGATTTGAATTTTACATATAATAATGAAATTTCACTATTAAATAGCTGCGTGTATATAACTATATAACTATTACCAACAATCAAATTACTATTAGTATACAAATATTTGATAAAAAATATGCTACTGATTTCTCCATACTTGAAATAAATTTTTTATAACTATCACTTTATATAAATAAAAATTGTTTACTTCTAAAGAAATTATAGTTTACTTACTTCTAAAAAAGTCACCATCATCGTCTAAAAAGAGAATTACTTGATATTTTTATTTATTTCCAATAAATAAAATATGATAGCAGTGCTTATTTTGTCTATCAGTTAACCCAACACTGTTTATAAGAGTGTAAATTGTTTGTCTATTTATATTTATATATTTATATATGCGTACTAAATAAAGTATAGCGTTTGTGCTGTATACGCATATATTAGATATATATAGATATATAGATATAATATCTAATATAAGCGCATATAGCACTAACACACATATGCAATAAATACATACCGTTTAAATTTTCTTGTGTGTTCATTTCTAAAATAAAAAGTAAATATTTATTCTCAATTCTTACACATATTCTTAAGTCTAATTTAACTTAAAATCATAAAAACTTAATTTGAAGATTTTAGATATTCAAAACAGTAACTCACTCAGATTCTAAAACTATAAGAGAGCTATAATGAGCGCGTGGCTGTCTTTTGAGTTGTTTAAGCATCCAGTTGGCTTGCAAAATGTAATCTTTAATCGCTTATATTTCTTTAGATTTTAAAATACGCTGTTCGAAAATCGGATTTGGAGTATTTATAATTAAGAGAATTATGTAATTTATGCAAACAAAAAGAAGGGGAAATTCAAGGGTTGCAAGACGTCCGGCTTTTATGAAGAAGAAAGCAGTAAAAGAACTGAACTGTATATGTTTGGGACTATATTCTACTCTGTAAAAGCCGGTCATTTGGCAAACCTAAGTAAAAATGATGTTACACATTACAAAGAGACAATATAGTGAAAGCAATATCAGCATTTCCATGTATATCAGGAAATTGGAATCCTGTGTTTAAGCGAGTCATTGTGCGATAGTTCTTTTCAAGTTGTTTTTGCTGCTTTTTGAAACTTAAATTACAATTATAAAATAAAATGAAAAAAAGACATCAAATATAAATACTGGAAAGTTTTCATACTGTTTTAATAGACCAATAGAATAATTTATCGATGAAAACAAAGTTTCTTAGACCCGCAGTACTCCTACAACACCACACTAAAACAGTTTCTCTACCACACATAACATTTTCTACTATTCCTAACATAGTTGTTATTGGTGACTAAAATTAGAAGAGCATAAGATTTTTTTTTTACTTAACAAAATAAGAGTTATAGATTTTTCTATAACTCTAACTAAAATGCTACAAAAGAACTCGGTTTCCTGTAAAACGTTTTTCGAAAATAAATAGAAAAAGCTTTGTTTTTTATTGTGGTGTTAAATCGAATGAAACAATAATTGTTTATGGATTAAGTAATAAAGGTCCGGTAACTTTATTTATCTAAGACAATTCGTAATTTATTTTTCTGCCATACACTAAAAAATATCGAAGTAAATGGTTGGTGTGAATTAAGTTTTTATGATGCCTAAGTATGCGCAATTTTTCCACATACTTTTGGTTTATTAGAATCGTATATTTATATCATATGCCAATATTTTGATGATTCGAAACAAAAACTTTGAATTGAAGATTTTTAAGGTATTTTAAAGAAATAACGCCATCTAACGTAGTGATGAGCAGATTCGAAAATTACGTGGACCTAACAAAAGTGTATTTAACATAGTTACCAATTACGTGACATTTCTCCCAGTGTTTTGGCAAACTTTTTTATAAAATTTAACCTTTCCTATTTAAAAAGGAGAAGTATTTGACAAAGAATCAGGTGACGAATCCTAATTATGTCAAAAATTAGCTCTATTTGTTTGAAAAGCAAATTTTCTACAATAAACTCGCAACAAATTTTTCTAAATGTTTATAAATTAGCAAATTATTAAACTACTATAGCTATTATTTGTACCGAAAATTTGTAAAATACTTAATGGGAATGGAACTATCTAGATCTGTAATTACCATGGTAATAAAAGTATTAACGGTTTCCATTCATATATAACGGAGATATATATAAAAAAAGCAAAATGAGCAATGTATCCATCAAATACTATAATTCCAAAGAGAAAAAATTTACAAATTTGTGTGAGAAACAAAAAACATTTTTCTTGAGATAAAATTAAAAAAATAATTTTTTTTTTTTTAAATTTTACAATATCTATTATATATAACATAAAAAGTATCAGAAGTACTTTATAAAATCAATTTGATTTGTTTCCCTATAATATATCTTTTAGTAAATGGTATAAAGATTAACAAAACTTCCCTTTGGATGTTAAAAAACGATCAACATTAAGAGAAGGCATTCGAATTAAAATAAAACAAAATTATTGAAAACATAACACATTAATGTACTCTTTTATTTAAAAACTCAAAAGTGTGACCAAGGCGATATCAAATAAGAAACTTACTTTGAGATTGTTTTTTTTGTGTGAATAGGTTTTGTGTAAAGGTTTCAAGATTTTTTGTTGCAAGTTTCGATTATAAACTCTTTTCAAAAAAAGCACACTAAAAATAATCAAAAAAAGATAAACCCTTACAGTTTAATATAAAAATTGAATGCTTGGCTTTTAGTGAATGATTATATATATTCAGTTTCAGTATGAAACAACCCTATAATCATTTTTAACGATAGACACCGACGTGAAGGTAAGCCAAGTCGTCTATCAACACAAAACATCACAACAGTAACATCACAAACATCAATAACAAATAGCACAAAATCTTACAGTAAAGACTCAATAACTTAAACCACCAAAGGATCCAGCAATTAGCTTATTAGAAAATATTTCAGTCAGTGGTAGTATGATCCATAAACAATCGCTCAACTGGAATTTTAAAATTAGTTTGATTTATTCAAGTTGATTTATTGAGTTATCCAGACTTTATTGTAAATACTTTATTTACTAACAGCATAACATACTTGCAAGTACACATTTTGTGATTACAAACAGATTTTATTATGTGTTTCATGTCAGTACGCCGCTTGGCTAGCAAGGACAACACTCTTGCCATAAACAAAGCCAAGTCACATTATTCAAAGTACACCGCTTGGCTAGCAAGGACAACACTCTTGCCATAAACAAAGCCAAGTCACACCACTTTGAAACCATGAAAACAACATAATAACAACTCACAAACTATAAACAGATAACATAACAAAAAATACACTTCATATGTAACAGCCATTTACACATTAATTACACATAAATACTTACAAAATATAACATACTTATAAGTACACATTTTGTGATTACAAACAGATTTTATTATGTGTTTCATGTCTGTACATCACTTGGCTAGCAAGGACAACACTCTTGCCATAAACAAAGCCAAGTCACATTATTCAAAGTACACCGCTTGGCTAGCAAGGACAACACTCTTGCCATAAACAAAGCCAAGTCACACCACTTTGAAACCATGAAAACAACATAATAACAACTCACAAACTATAAACAGATAACATAAAAAATACACTTCACATATAACAGTCATTTACACATTAGTTACACATAAACACTTACAAAATATAACCTTAACACATATTTAAACACATAATAAATATCACACATTACTGCATCAAGCAACACACAAAAATACTTTAAATTACAGTTAAAATATTTATAAGAAATGAGGAGTTTAATTGTAAAAAATTAATTATTTATAGATTTAGTACATTGGTAAATACAACATTGTTTGTGTAGCATTTGTTAAATGACATACCTTGTAATGAATGCTCATCAATTTTAAAAAATAAGGTATTAAACGATCTTGTTCTTGAACATGCAACATAGAGTTGACCATGTGAAAAGCAAGGGTTTTTGAGATAAATACCAACTTTGTCAAAAGTTTGACCTTGACTTTTATTTATGGTCATTGAGTATGCTAATCTTACAGGAAATTGACGACGCTTAAGAGTAAAAGGTAAATTTGAATCAGATTGTGTTAACTGAACCCGAGGGACAAATACCCTCTTGCCAACTGAAACACCTGTTAGAACTTGCCCATCAATGTAATTATTTTGTAGAGCACGCACTATCAATCGGGTATCAATAGTATCAGCACTTAAATAAACCTTAACGTCACCTGGTAAACGGTCCAAAACTTCTTCATTTATTGCTAAAGAATCAACATTATTGGGTGTCAAAATGGCACGTTTAGCATAATCATCTTCTTCTGCAACTCCAAAAATCTTGTCTACTAAAGATTCATTTTCTCCAAGCAAGCATTGCTCAGGAATCTCAATGCACCCGCGAAAGGAACCATCTGCTTTTAAAGGTAATGTTCCACTACCAAGTTTTAAAAGCCATTGAGAGAATTCCTCTTCTTCGGCCTGAACCCTCATATTTTCTGTTAATGAAAATCGCTGAACATATTGCCAATGTTGAGAACATTTTATACAGGCTTCAACAATATCAGCTGGTTGCCCTCTCTTTACAACCGGAAGTATTTGCCTAAAATCCCCACCCATAAGAATAACTTTACCACCGAAAGGAAACTTGTTATTGCAAACGTCTTGAAGTAACTTATCAATGGCATTTAAAGCATGTTTAGGTATCATGGATGCCTCATCTAGTAAATAAAGGCTAACTTGCCTCAAGAATTTTCCGTGTATAGAATTTGGAGTTACATTGCATGTGCTATTTTCCAAAATCGGCACAGGAAGTTTGAACAAACCATGAAGTGTACATCCTTTTTTTAAAAGAGTTGCAGCTATTCCTGTCCATGCAGCTGTTGCAGTTATAATATGTCTACTGCTGGTTTCAGCGATTAAATAATTGTATGTAAATGTTTTACCACAACCTGCAGGGCCATCCATAAAAAACAATCTAGACTGCTTGTTTTCATTGTTGGGTTGCTCACTAAGAGCAGAAAGGATAGCATCAGCAATTTGACGCTGATTATCATTTAACAATGGTCTAACCCTATTTGCTTCATCAATTAAAACCTGAACATCTTCCTCTTCATTTTGTGGGACATAATCTAAAAACTCATCTAAAGTAGGAAGATTAACATCAGCTAAAGTCTTACCATTCTGATTAATTATAGATTCAATTTGACGCAAAGCTGCCTGCTCAGCAATTATTGGTGGCATGGAATGGTGAATGTAATCCTCCATCATAAAATCTTTAAAGGCATTCCAAAGATTTAATGGATCATCAGGTTCACAGAAAGTCAAAATAATGGAAAACAACTGTCTAATTTGATTTGGCAACCGAGTTGCAGCAGCCTCAGTTAATGTATTTCTCCATTCAGCGTCGTCTTGTAACAGACCTAATTGAGAACATGCTTCTCGGAATGTATTAAAAACTGTACCATTAACAGTACGCAAATCTTCAAAAGAAACTGCACCTCTAACATGCAAAAGTAACATTCTAAGATAAAATATTTCACCTATTGGACTCACTTTATACATCCTAACAATCACCTTATTGCTACCTCTTTGCCTAACTTTCCATTTACAATGTTTGCTATCAAAAACAAAGTGGTAAGGAATTTCAACATATAGATAGTGTCGGGCTTGTTCATTTTCAACATTTAATTTAAACCATGCAGTTAGGTGAGTGTCACGCTGTGCTGCACGGTCTAAAGCTGCCTGTTCTTCGCCTTCTACAAAATATATCATCTGATTATCTGGCAGATGAACCTGAAGTCGAATGATGTTATGTGACATATCACTTAAAGAATACTCAAATATTCGCCACAATGCTTCTGGAGCTGAGACATAGCGACAATTTAAAAACGTGTTTATTTCATCATGGTTAACTTGCTCATTTATCACCACATTGGCACAGTCATGCCCTTTGTAAATGTACTTATATAAATAGTTAACTGACTTTATGGTCATGCAGGCTTCAACATTTATGTGTGCTTGATATTTTTTAGAAAGCCATGGGTTATAAGGTACAACCCAACGGTTGTCAACTTGATTACCTTTTATATTTACAATTCTTCCATTATCGACGCGCCTATAGCGTGGATAACCATTAAAAATTGCAACAGTGTGGGGATTAAATTCCTTAGGAAATTTTTTTGTGCATTTACCATCTTTCATGCAGGGAGAATTGGGATTTAAAATTCCACATGGTCCATGTATCATGCATGATTTTATAATTTCAAAAAGTTCAGGATCAACAGCTGGGTCTGGGATTTCTGCTGATATCAAACTATCAATATCTTCTGCTGTTTCTAGCTTATCAGCATTTACAAAGTGCAATAAAATATGTACATGTGGCAAACCACGCTTTTGAAACTCAATAACCTGCACATGACTTACAACTTTGCCTAAGACTCCATGCTTAAAAATATCCTCTAAGAAAAATTTAAGTTTCATTTTAAATACCCGACAAACTAAATCAGGTCTGTCATTAGCAGTTTGGCCTGGGTTTAAATTTTCTACTATTTCTCTCCATTTTGGATTGCAGGTAAAAGTAATGAATAGATCTGGTTTACCATATTTCTTTATGACTGCCATCGCATCTTCAAAGTTTTCTTTTAATGCTCTTGGACTACCAACATATGAAGAAGGCAATATAACAACACGGCCTGGTCTTACATTAAGATCATTAGCACGATTAATTACATGTTCATGCAATGCATCATATTGCTCACTTCTAAGTTTGTTTTGGTTATTTCTAATAAAAGCAAGGCGCTGTCCCTTAACTTTGACATATGCATCAACAACATATTGCTGAAAAAGTTTCTTACCATAGAATATAGGACTAAAAGTTTGTCTAACAGCAAGCCTATAATTATAATACTGAGACAAAGTAACATGGTTTCTAACACGGGTTGCACGGTCAGGGTTGTGCTCTAGTTGATTGTGCCATCCAGCATCACCTCTCGGGAAGAATATTGGATATACCAAAGGATCCAAATTTGCAGACATAGACGAAATTGTTCTTAAAGGCTGACCTCGAGGGTATATAACAATTTCCCTGGATGCAGGTGGAGCACCATCATCTCCCACAAACACAATAGCAACTTCCTCATGGGAAGGAAGATTGTATCGACGTCTATCATGACCTTCAAGCAAAGACATTCTTACAACAGAGGTTGGTCTACCTTCTAAAGCTGCTTGGCGGATTTCTTCATCCTCTACTTCTGCCATGTTTTTAAATGCAAGAG